TCTGCTCCTCCTATATTCCCCTCTCGCTCTTCCCTGCGCCGTGTCTCCCGCGCCTTTACGATGTCGCTCCTGTGTCCCTAGCGGCCAGTTTCCTAGTGATTTCGACCAGACGAACTATTCGGCCGAATCGGTCCGGTTTCGGAGGTAGATTCATTTTAGTGAATCTAAGAAAGAGTGTCAACGAAAAAATAAAAAAAGGAAAACTAAGATAAATAGAAAAAACGAATGTAACTAAAAATATAAATAAAAATGAAAGAAAAATCAAAAACGAAAAAGAAATCCGAATTGCTTATTACCCCCTCGTGCCAACTGTCACAACGGGGCCTTACCGTAATGTATCCCGAATTCAAAATCACGGGTTCAAGCCCCGACCTCACCGGGACAGGGTGAAATTGTAACGCAGCTCCTTTTGAAAAGAAGCTAGCTCAGAGGGTCGGACAGACTCGATCCCTGTATCCCTACCTTATAAGTCTGCCCCTCTAACCTACACTACGAACAAAAAAATAAAATACACACACACATACACACATCAAACAACACGACGACACTCCTAGTCCCTTAGTAGCCATCCGATAACTCTCCGATGCGAAAATCGGATAGGCGATGCGCGCAAGACTTAGTATAAAATTGCGCGGTACGCAGGGCGAACTCATATCGACTCGCAATGCAAGTGTACACAAGCGGTCACAGTGATGGCGTACAACGTAGCACTAGTTCTCGTTAATCTCGAGGGTCGCATTCGACACTCAAGTGTCGGCTGACACACACCTTGAGGGTTAATCTCTCGACGCTGGACAACCGCCAAGCGCGGTTGAAAACCACACCCTCTTCTGCACCCTGTGGAGAGTGGGTGGTACACAGATTCATACTTGTGGTGGGAATCGTCTCTTATGACCCTGGAGACCAGCTCCACCATCTAGGACCTGAAAATAAGTCAAGGGGTTTGACTTTGGCGGCTGCCACGGACCACAACGTCCAACCATAGAAACTCTAAAAAGCAAACGATAAAACGCGGTCTCCCTTTTCTCTCAAACACACAATCGGTTTAACCCTTACGCGCAATTATTGTAGGCCGAGTGAAAACATTCAAGACATATATATTTACATATATATATATAAAGGGTTATTAATATAGGACGATCACTTCTCACAGTTACAGTGGGACTCCTCTCAGCCATATATGTACGTAATCACAGACAGTCACATCCAGAGTCCGAACCACAAACATACCTACAATCACATCAAAGAGCCAACAATAGTCCACACACTACATGGGGTCAACTTCAACCATTTTCTACGCTCATATCCCTTGCTTTAGCCATACAAACCTCACTCTTGTGCAACTCCCCAAAATAAATACTAAGTACTTTTGTTAAATGACCATTCAATAAAGTCTGGGTGAAAACACAAAAAAACAATTCAAATCACAGAGCTAAAGCCTTTAGGTTGAGTGACAAGAGTGAATTTGGGTTGAATCGTAAACCGACGAATCGACAATCGACCTGATATCAGTGATAACAGAAGGTGATCCTTGTAGGATCAAGCCGAATCTAGCCCGAATCTTGAATCAATTGATTAAGAGGACCTGTAAACACATGACAGACCAATACCCCAGGCTAAACCTATAATTCCACGAAGATTAATCCCCATACCACGATCTCACTTAAATCATCCTAATTAACTAAGCCCAATCCTATCTCTAAGTAAGTGTTAAAAGAAAGGTAGATCCTGACAGAATCTCCTCTATATAAAGTGAATTTTCCAGAATTGTCACCTGTGAAAATACAATTTGACTCCTCTCAACGAGGAAAATTTCGGCAGCGCTTCCTGTAGGAAAAGTATCTTTCTAAAATTTATATCAACCCGAATATGAAAACAAAAATAACCTTTAACTTTCCAAAGTCCAATTTTGTCTAACTCCCCGAATTAGCCAAAATTTGGGCATCACTCCCTTTAGAAAAGGAGACTTTCCAGATTTTTACTAAGCCATAAATGAACATTAGACAAGTTGAACTTTGAAAAGTCAAAAAATTGACTAACTTCTTGGATTTGCAGAAATTTCGGCAGCGCCTCTCGTAGAGAAAGTGGCTTACCAAGATTTGTACAAGACCAATTATAATAAAAGATCCCAGAAAATGCAGAAATTGATCTAAGTAAAAAAACTTAGCTAAAAAAATGCAGGAATTGAACTAACTCCTATGACTCTAGCACGTGGCGAGCAACTAAAGCAACTGTTTGTCGAACTGAAACTCAGACGAAGTAGTACCCTCACTAAGTCACATGCAGGCCAAACCACAAAGGTAAGTACTTTCACCATTCCCAAGTCAACTTATCAAACAATAGTTCATAGTGATCTAAGTAAAAAAACTTAGCTAAAAAAATGCAGGAATTGAACTAACTCCTATGACTCTAGCACGTGGCGAGCAACTAAAGCAACTGYYTRTCRAACTGAAACTCAGACGAAGTAGTASCCTCACTMAGTCACATGCAGGCCAAACCACAAAGGTAAGGACTTTCACCATCCCCAAGTCAACTTATCAAACAATAGTTCATAGTCTCACAATGATTTATCCCTTTATACCCAGCTTACATAAGGCGTAAAGTAGACCACCCACACTTATGGGACATGTCTGACCAAGTTATTGAGTATACACAGAACAGAGGGCACAACTACTTTTCTCTTATTTTGGGCATATGACTAGACCATTCTAGTCGTCATGAACTGTTTAAATAACCAAGTTATATATACCTCTCTGAACTTAATCTTCAAAGTGGGCGTAGGACTGAGTCATTCATCTTAAAAACAATGCTCAGCCGGCCCAAGTTACCTTCTGTTATACTCTCAATTACACTCTCTTCAGATTGTGATAGGGCTATAGTCAGGCCACCCAAACTTATGAGACCCTGCCTGACTAGCCTGTTCACAGATAAGATAGTAATAAAATATAGGCAAGTTGTAACCTTTGCGTTCCAGCATGTGCGAGGCTTTGAGTCAGACCACCTGAACTTACAGAACAGTCTGACTCTCTGCCTGATTCGTTCCTCTCTCGTTCAACTTGTGCGAGACATTGGGCTAGACCACCTAAACTTATAGAATGGTCTGCCCTTTGCCAAATTTACTTTATCAGAATAAAAGCAGGAAGAGGATGAGCCATCTAAACTTATAGAATGACTCAGACCTCCTCGTTCAGAACCAAATAAACAAAGAAAACCCCAAAATAAACAAACCAAGGCACCTGAACTTACAGAATGCACCTGGCCCCTGAAAAAGTCAATCACAGTTAAACCCGCGCAAGTCAAAGCAACCTGACCACCTAAACTTATAGAATGGTGTGATTCTCAAAGCAATTCCATAGCACTGGGTCTCCCCAAACTTATGGGGACTTCCCGACCTCCAGAGCAATCAGACCACCTAAACTTATAGAATGGTCTGGTGCTCTACACAATCCAAATTAAACATAGCACTGGGTCTCCCCAAACTTATGGGGACTCCCCTGCCTCAATCGACCCAGTCAACCCTCATGCAAAACTGCCTTCCTCACAACCTTCCTCAAGATGCAACCCCTTTTGTTCACGATCTGCTTTCAGACAGACAACAAAAACTGAAACTGCATTATACATACATTCCTTTATTTAGTATGGTCATGTCCTGAAAGTCAAACATAAAGTCAAAGTAAGGGATGCATGCAATATACTAAGTCAAAACATGGCAAAGGAATACAGATAGGGGTTATAACAGGGTTTGTATAAGGAAAACAAGCCTTTACCCTTCAGTTCCCTGCCTCTAGAAATCATCCTGAGTTTAGGCAGAGCTCCCACCATCGGTGGACCGACTCCTCACAGAGCCTTGCTGCGGTCCTACGGGTTGCAATCCCGCCTGCCGCCTTCCTCTCAGAACAGGAATAGACTTAGAGTAAGAAGGACAGAGAGAGGGGTTTCAGACTCTCGAGATACAAGAGGGAGACTGACTCAACTCCCACAACAGAAAAAAAATGTGGCAATTTTTTTGCCACGTTGAACCTATGTTGACACCACATTTCAACTATTTATAAACTGTTGGCCGGGGGCGGGGGCATGTGTTCAACACAAACTGAAGGAAACCAGCACTGACCGTATATTGGGGACACTGAAACTTGTGTGTTCAACTGTTGGATCAACTGTTGACAGACAGTTGGTCCAACTTTTGATCCATTGTTGGTAGCTTGTTGAAATCTTGTTGAAGAGTTGTTGAAATGTTGTTGAAACCTTGTTGAAATGTGTTGAAACGTGTTGAAAGTGTGTTGGAATGTGTTGAAATGTGTTGGACCGTGTTGAAACAGGGTATTGGACCGTGCGCAATAGCAGTTTCGGTTACGGGTTATTTGCGTTGTCCGGAGGTGGGTTGTAGCTCTGTTTTCCTCGTTTAAGGACTGAGCACGTTTTGGAGCACGAAGATCACATGGCCGAGCGTTGGGTTTGCGCGCGCCGACCAGGCACGTGATGATTGCAGTGACTGATGGAATTGAGGGATCAGAGACTGATGATCAGAGAGAGAGAGGGAGAGAGAGAGAGAGAGAGAGAGAGAGAGATGCTGTAGGCTGCCGACGAACACATTTCGGGCCTCGTACAAACAAGGTTGACTTTCGGTGTCCGACGAACACATTTCGATTAAATGCTGGGCTGCCCTCGTACAAACAAGGTTGACTACTGCGGGCCGAAAATTGTCCAACACGGCGGTGTCTGACACAATTTGGCACGCAGTAGCCAACCTTCCTTTTCTGTGCCCTTAAGATTGTTGTGCGTGGGGAGTCGAAGTCCACGTCACCCTGCCCTGCAACAAACACTTTTCACCACAGGTTGACAAAATTTTTGGACTTATTCTCTCACGTGTACGGAGCAGACGTGGGAGACCGTCGATTAAATGCTGGGCTGCCCTCGTACAAACAAGGTTGACTATTGCGGGCCGCAAATTGTCCAACACGGCAGGGTCCGTCACATTTTGGCATGCAGTAGCCAACCTTCCTTTTCTGTGCCCCTAATACTGCTGTGTCCCATTCTATATAAGGCGATTTGGCATGGGGAGCCTCAGTCCACGTCACCCTGCTCTGCAACAAACAAGTTTCACCACAGCTTGACAAAACACAYTGTCGTGTCATGTTACCATTACAAAGTCAGCCGCACACACCACTCAATCGCACAAAGATGAGCATTACAAATGTTTGTACAATTGTGTATAAAAAATAACAGAAGTTGTGTAGTTATCAGACTGTATGGAGCATACGGCTCGCAATCCTCAGGCGGTGCACGTGCGTGCAAGCACTCGCTCTCTCTCTCTCTTCTGCAAAACTGAAGGTCTTCAAATCTTTCTCTCTCGCTCTCTCTCTCTCTATCCTGCACCGACTGTGGCCTTCGATTTTGCATCTCCTGGTTCGAAACGTCTAAAAAAAGAACCTTTCGTTCCACCGTTTGGTCATTGCCCCGCATCCTCCCTTCCATGTCGAAATGTCGGCAAACTGTCCCTCGTTGTTCAGGGTGCGGCGCACAGACTGTCGGTGTGCCTGTCCCTGTCTCCGGCTGCTGTACTCTGAGGGAGAATGAACTCGACGTCGTAATCGTCATCCGTTATTGTGGTGCTTGGAGGCCCAGGTCTGTGGACAGACGGCGTGCCAGAGCGAAAGAGCACTGCTGCCTTCTCAGCCACAGATACAGAACGGTCCAGTTTGAAGACGGAAAAACTCATTACCGTGTCTCGGCTGGAGAGATGAGACGATTGCCTGCTTTATAAATACCAATTTTTTTATCTGCTACGCAGCTCGTGTCGTCTTCGTTGTCTGTTCTATCTCACATTGAATGATCATTTCCGCAAAAGCCAGTTGCTGCAGGGTGACGCCCAGGTTCCGGCCTTCCTTCCTCATCTGAAAAACTTTTAAGAGTGCCGTCTTGAAGGCGGGGGCGCCCCACGGATCGTCGCCGCTCCGTCTCCACGTCTTATTCTCCTTCATCTCGGTGCGCATCTTGTTGCGAGCGGGGAGGTGGTGGTCCGTTTGCTGCGATCCGACGAGCGGAATCCCTTTTTCAGCCCAAAACCAATGTTTCAGCTGCCATGTAATCTCTCCGCGGATCGTCGTCATCATTCTGTTGCATTCCCCTATGACAGCTCGAATCCCGCACTCTGCTATGTGAGACCGCAACCCTTCCTCTGCTGTCTCCCCTGCCAGTTTCGCCGTCGCTTGCACCGCCGCGAAAAACGCGTCCTCTGTCGGGTACAGAGTTGCGTCGTTTGCCGGAGAGAACGGAAAGGCTTTGGCGACGGAACGCAACAACTTGCCCTGCATTTTCTTCGCGAATGTGGCGCCCTCGTCCTTCGGTCCTTGCATGGCTCCGCCGCTTGCGCGCACTTTCGTTCGTGACGTTGCGATCGGTGGGAAACAGAAGACACAACGCACAGGAGAGTGTTAACAACTCAGCGCCTTGTTTTGAATACAGCACTTGCAAAATCGAGGATTCAGCTATTAGCTGTGCGTTTACAAAGACACTTCTCCGTGCGTAAAGGCATGCACCGCGTGGGGGCACGGGATTATGTGATCGGAGTGGGAGGGGAGTCTGTGCGACGGGGGGTTTTTTACCTTTTCCGGCGGCGCTGACGTGCTGTACGATTTGTCTGTTATCGACACGCTCCTCGGTGTCGCTGCCATTGCGTGCCTGCCGTTCTCCTTCTCTGCGCAGCGTCCTCGAAGGAAATGGCGAACCACCTCTTTTCGAAGCGGCGCTCTGATCTTCGCCGGTTCTCTCGCTGGCCGACTTGCCGTTGCTGTCGTCGTCCTCATCGGTGTCTTGCGATTGTCTGCGGGAAGAATCGCTGTCGTCTCCCTCGTTTCCTGGCTCCTCATCCTCCGCACCATCTGACTTCTCTGGCGCGGAACGGTCGTGTTCCTCCTCTTCTTCCACTTGGGGTCCGCTGTGCCTGTCGTCAGACCCTCTAATATCGATTGTCTCCACTGTTCTGTCGTCTTTGTAGGATATTCTCTTCTTTGTTCTGCGGTGCGTAGTCGCGCTTCTATCATCTCGCGATCTTTTTTCCGGGGCCCTTGGCGGACGGTTCTCGGCGCCTCTTCCGCGCTTTCCCCGGACGGGGGTCGAGGGGGGCGACTCGTTACGTTCTTTCAGCGTTGAAATCTCCCGTGCACTCGAAGGGACTGTAACTTTCGATCCGGATTTGCGGCTGCGCTTGTGCTCCGTTTTCGCAGAGGGGCCGACCCCGCTTCTGCGATGCTCTCTCGACTGCTTCTTTTCGACCCTCGATTTCTTCGGGCACTTGTCCTTCTTTCCCACAGCTTTCAAAGACCTGCACAGATCCTCGTATTTTGGCCTTGGAGCCATTACCCCTTTTTTCCCACATGCATCAAAGTGGAATAAAAACCACAAGTGCGTCAGTGATGTTGTTTGTCACGCAAAGAGAGAGAGAGAGAGAGAGAGAGAGAGAGAGAGAGAGAGAGAGAGAGAGAGATTTGAAATTGCGAAGTCATGCAAGTGAGCAACCTCTTTGTGCGTCAGAGTGACTGCATTTGTATTGTCAGGTGACAGGAGATCGCATAATCTGGGAAGAAAAGAAAATTCTGGAAAAAAAACCATCGGAATAGTTGCCTCGTCCATCATTGCGATAAGGTTGGCTACTGCGGGCCAATCATGTCCGCACATCTCACATTTCATGTCATTTTGGCCCGCAGTAGTCAACTTTCCTCGCATCGCGTTCGGTGACCTGGACAACATCTCATTCCATGGAAATGTTGCTCTCTCTTCTGTTTATTATGCTTTGCAACGGTGTGGCTACTTGTGAAGCCGCTAAAGTGCTGTTGCCTTTTGTGACTGCAGCACAGGCAGCAAGCCGGTCCACCATCGACTCGCGAAATTGTCGAGCAGTTCTTTCGTTCACCGTTGTAGTTTTGATAACTTCCAGTACGTCCTTGACCGTCAGATCCTTTGCCGCGGTTCTTCCAAAATATTGTATTACGGTGGTAGCGATACAACACACATAAACACCACAGTCCGTGTGATTGTTCTGTTGCGGGCATTCCGCATGCACAAGTTTACTTCCTGCCAGATCCCTGGATATCATCCACGAAAAATGAACCTTTTCGGGTGTCAAAGCCTGCAAATTCGATGCCTCGTGAAGGTACTCGTGCCACAAAAGTGTTCGCAACGCCGTCCATTCGTCTCGATTTTTTTCTCTCATTGAGTCAACGACGATAGCAATGGAAGGGTCGAATATGCGGCTGTCCGCAGTGACCTCCAAGAAGGACCTCGTATTCAGCAACAGAAGAAGAATCCAGTGTTTGTTACGGTTCACTGGTATCAAAGTGACCGGCGCGCGTCGCAGTTCGTTGCACAGTCGATGCAATTTATGTGGTCTCTTCTTAATTGCGTCCTCCCATCCTTTTTTCGTCAATTTCCCAAATTTTTGATTGGTGACGACCTCGGGGTGCCAGAAAGTTGTGCAGACGTGAACATAAGACCTGTCCTAACCCCGCCCAACCATTTCATACACAAACTGCAAATAAATGTTAATAATATTGTCGTTCAGCCATCCGTCGTCCGACAACTGTTCAATGTCGGATTTTGACACGGGTATGGCGTGTTGCGGAAATTTCCATGTAAAAGGGAACAATTCGACCACGTCAGTGATGTCGGTCTGCTCATCTCTCGCTCTTGTCTTGTCCCCTCATACAACAGAAAGACTGTTCCCCGCAGGACTGGGGTCACTCTGCTGCACCCTCAATCAGTAAATCGTACATTTTCGCGCACCATGGGTCTGATAACATGTCATGCCAGCTCTGTGCTGACCTCTGGCTGCTCGATGGCAACAATGGTTTTCCCTCCCTTAGACCATTACCCGTTTCGGTGCGCTGGTATGGCCTCTTCGCAGCAGCCGACCAATTACTACTGTTATGCGACTCTGCCATCGTTGATCCCCTTCTCTTACCTGCACTCTGTTACTCTGTGTTCCGTGTCGCTTCTCCCCCTTCGCCCCCTCCCCTGTTACTCTGCAAGCGTCAGAACCAGGAATTAAGCAAGACATGAATGCCAGAACGCAGGCAAGTAAACACATATAAAACGACTGCGACAGAGACACAAATAGAGAGCCCTATTCCGGACCCAGAGATAGAGACAATCGCCACGAACAAAGAAACTATTGGATGGTCCGCCATTCTGATGTTGACCGAAGTTGGCTACTGCCGGCCAAAAATACACATACGCACATCGATGCGTGTGCCGGTGGCCCGCA